CTATGAGCTTCTTAGAGTGTAGAGGTATAATTCCATAAAATCTTTTTTTTTTTTTTGCAATAGATAAATCATCCCTTGCAAAAGCACAAATAGAAATGGTCCACCTAAATGAGATAGGAGACGACACTACCTTAGCATGACAAGATGAATATGCGACAGCTTTTTGCAGTTGAGTGATGATGCTGAAATGAGCAGCGACATTTGAAGACATTAGATTTATACAAAATGTTGTAGCTGATATATATTTTTTTCGAGAATAAAATTACTCACTGATTACATATTGCTTCTCTTTCTAGTATCTTTCATTTGAGACATTAAAAAAACACATATTCGAACCAAATATTTTTCTCGAACCCATACATTTACCTTTTTCCAACATTCATGAAATTTTCTCAGCAATTTGTCACTCATTTCTTCTTTTCTTACCTTATTGTTCAACTAGTTTTAATTATGCTTATATTTGAAAAATCTTCAAAGAAAATTATAGAATGAATGAAATCCTTTCCTGCTCCATGTTTCTCTCCATTACCTTTCTATTTCTATTCAGATTTGTTGCATACATTTTATAATCCTCAAATGTCATCAAACTAACAGTAAACTTCAATCCTTGAAATGCAGGAGAACTCGCTTTATCTTTCTTAAATTATGTGCTTATCCATCTGTTACACAGTAATGGATCTCCAGCAATATAAACAGCTTAGCAAACACGAATGACGTAGCAAAGCATCGGTTCAACTTTGCGTAATAATTTCAATCCAGTATTGCTTTACTAACTTAGCACAAATAGTTCGATATTTATATTGCTGTATTGCTAGCCCAGTTACCTTTATTCATATTTGATAAATATGTCGGCAAGTCTGCGACTTTTTCCTTTTAACCCGTCATTTAGGCACATATCAACAATAATGCAAATAATATAGTCCCAGATTGATCGAGACACGATTTCGAAAAATTTAGAGTGGAAAAATGATCAAATACGATATTTAACTTTCGATAAAATTCAATGCTATAAAGATTTCGAAGGTTTCTGCTGAATACATTTTTATAATTGAATTACGTATTGTTCGTTTCACCCTTAATGAATGGTTTAAATAATTTACATGAAATCAACCCTCTTATTCAAAACCGGCCACGGCAAATGTCATTTGCTAAAAGAAGCGAGGAAGTCCTATTGCACCCTTCAAACTGGATAAACTGATGCATTTCCAAAAATTATCAATTCATTACGTTATTAAATGTTCTCGACAAAGAGTAATTTGTTAACCTAAAACAAACCGTTCACACTAGAGTTTAAAAAAAATAATTTGCACACAATAAACTAAAAGGGAAATGAAACAAAAAATGAACAATTGTAGAGTAAAAAGAATAATGCTTATATCAGTAAGATGTTGATAAATATGCTATGGAATGATGTGACTCATACCTATTAACTTTCAGATGTAGCGTTACAGCTATAAGAAGAAATAAGTAGTTAATAGAAGCGTGGAAGAATTGGGAATGCAAATATAAACAAAGAAGTGGAAAGTAATAAAAGATGGAGGTAAAGTAGAGCTGTTATAGAATATAATTTTGAAGCAATTTACACTTCAAAACATTTATATTGTTCCCATTTAATGTAAATTTACTGTAAGAGCTAAAGTTGTCACTACATTGAAAACATTTTGACAATTGTCATAATCAGCTTTGTACATAGTTCCCTAACACTGCGGAGTTTTTCTCTCACCCTGATTATGATTAATAAGCACAACTTGCTGTTAAAATGACAATCGCGTATAATAGTGTGAGGGTAAATTGTTTTTGGTTTTCTAGTATTAGTAGAGTTTTAGTCGATATTTAAATGATAAATAATGTTTCCGAGACCAAAATCGTGATATTATTTTAAAATTACTTCTACCACGTGATTAACTATCGTGGAAAAAAGCCTTAGAGAAAACTCAATTTTTGGCTCAGGATTGTTGGCGATTTAATTGAAACCTAGAGAAATTGGGAAGAATCTAAATTCTGAGAGAAAGCTGATCTAATTAGCCAACAAAACCTTCAAATGAGAGGAAGACAACTATGTCGTAGAAATACCTTTTGAAAATTGGATTTAGCTAAGTAAAAATTATTATTCATCCTCCTTTTCCACTTTTTCTGTTTAACATGAAAGCCAGTGACAGCATCCGTTCAACAATGAAACTATGTTGAAAGCTATTGGAAAAAACCAATAATTCCAAGATCATAAGATCAAGCAAATTAAATTAACTATTAACGATAGTTTACATTTGAGTACTCTGGTGTATTCATTATCAAATTAATGAGTAGGATGAATAAAGTGAAATTAATTATTAATTTCAAGTTGGTTTACTGTCGAGGATAAGTGTCGATTTACCCGTTGTAAATTATTCAGGTATATAAATATATAAATCGATATTTTAATTAGGATCGATGGGCGCATAAAAGTACTGTTAGGAAGTTCCCGGCTTAATTTTTGAATGGATAGAAGATGAGATTGTTGAGATTGAATATTTCCTAAACAAGTTCACTATCATGAAATAATGAGCTAAGCGTAGGAACTTCTGTAGACAAAATTTTACTTTCACTTCACCCTTCAAATTTCAGGGATTATGCACAATAACAAATAAATCAAAAGATTTCTTATTTAAAAAATCAGAGTTATGTGATGCATGCATTAGATTTCAGTCGGAAAAGTAAAGCGGCTTGTATTTGCAGTATGCCTTATTTAAAAGGTCGATGACTGTCACTCACTATCGACAAAAGAGTGATAAGGAACTACAAACATATCCACACATCAAGTTTTCATCTTCATTGGTCTTTTCGACAATTTCTTTCTCAGAGTTAATCCTCATTTTAAACTTATTGTAAAAACTAATCAAAGTTTGATTATTTAATTTGTATTTTCAATTAAAAGTCAAATCTGAACAAATATTGGAACCATTCCCAGTTAAATTTTGGATTATTAAACTGTAGAAGTAAGAAATAATAGTAAATAAAATTGATGAATAGATATTTTATCTTTTCAAAAATAAAGAATGTTTGACTTATTTAGATCATGGCTTAAGATCTGGTTCTTCAACAAGATAAGAGTGATACTTGGAGAGATCAATATTTTTGGCATAAAGATGTAGCTTTTCCAGATCTTCAAATGCAATAATAATAATAGGTGAACAATGCCGGAAGTGATTGTTATTTGCTATGAAAATGATGTAAATATTAGAAAATAGAAAGAATTGTGTGCATAACCTTTATCTTACCTTATTTCAGTTTCTTTTGAAGATTTCTATCAAATCTCGAGTCTATAATTCAGAAAAGATGAAGCCCAACAACCTTGGTCAAATAATGATGCTGTATGAGAGACAGTGATTGAATTAAAAATGAATTAATTGGATTAAAAATGATGATTGAATTAAAAATGAATTCTTGCAAAACGAGAGTGATAGAAAGGTAATAGGAGGTGAAAGAGAGAAAGAGAAGAATAACAGGAATTATATCTTTGACTCCATATTCTGATTTAAAAAACAGTGCTTTTTAAATATGCCTATAAATACACAAAAGACTGTACGCACTGCTACAGGTTCATAAGCTCATTTCTTGATTACTGTTGATTTGATACTATGATCCACGCACATATATGTATATATATATTGAGCAGCATTTAAGCATTAATTTAATGGTTCATTACAATTATTGAACATTCCCAAAAATAAGGTTGATTTGCTAATCTATTTCAAATTGTAAGTTATACACCGATAAATGGCACTTTTCTTTGTTTATCCATTTGCAGAAGTACCAATTAATTTTAATAAAACAATATATAAAAATTGATTTTGAGATTGGATAATATGACTTCGTCTCAAGTTTCGTATAAAATGGTTGTATGACCACATTTGTCAGCTCAGTTTGAATTAAAGACAAATTAAATCAATTAAACAATTTTTTTTGTTTAATCACTTCTAATAATGAACTAATAACTGTCAAGCAATTTAGTTGAATATAACAAAAAAGTGATTTGTTACAAAGTGTAGCACTTCTTTATAAATGACAAATCAGGATTACTACTGCTAAAACCGAGTGATTTGTGTCGATTCACTTATCATTGACATATAAGGTGATGATAACAAATGTAGAGGAAAGGTTTACAATTTGGTCTGATTTGCTAAATTAATTTCGTTGTCACAAAAGGAAAGAATGTACTGAACATAATTGACAGTCTTTTCCTCTTCTCCAATATTAGAAAAAGTAGTAAAAAAACATTGATATCTACCATTTTTATTACTTGCAGCAATGGCTGATTGTAAAATTTGAACGATAATCTTTAACATTTTGTAAGGTTACAAGTTTCCACTTCCAGTTTTATAAATGAATCATGTCGTGTTACACTTAACCTAGTCGATATCACTTCATTTTAAATAACAAAATTGTTCAGAAATTTATTTCAATTACCAGTTTGCTTCCCGGCTCTTCCCTTTGTTTACAGTTATTTGCATATTTTACATTTTATCTTACATTAATGATTAATAATTAATAAAAATAATAATAGTAATAATTAGTAATAATAATAACAATAATAACAATAACAATAATAATAACAATAATAATAATAATAATATTAATATTAATAATAATAATAATAATAATAATATTAATAATAATAATAATAGTACTGTAGTGAGCCACATAATAATTATGAGGTTTCTCGCTAAAACACACAGAGTGTCAAAGCACCGTCCTCACCTTCTTCTGTAGCACGAACCAGCCGCTGAAAAGCGTCCCTTGTAGCACTTAGCTATGACCTTTTCCGTCGACTTAGCAAGTGCGCGGAGTGAAACTATGTGTCTCGGACAGACGTGAAGAATGTTATTCGTGATGCAATTGAGTCAGATCAGGTTTAGTTAATACGGATTTGTGTTTCTTCTTTCTTCTCTGTGTTTAGTTTTGTTTTTTATTTCCATTTTAAGGTTGGCAGTGTTGACTTCCGATGTAGTGATTGTTAATGAGGAATGATATTCCGTCGTGATTTGTGCGGAATCTTCTGCGCTTTGCTCACTTATTTAGCAATGATTTATGCCGATTATGTAGTCATCGTATGGCTCATTGCACCTACCTTCATGCAAAGGTGTGCATCAATTCATTCCGATCTTTTCAGCAATGGTAGTCCATAAAAAAATTTCCATCTCTGCATTTCTGTTAGTATTTTCATGCCTCATTAGCGTTACTATAATTTTAAAAAGAATGACACATTTACGGGCGTTCGGCATCACTATTTCATAACTGTAATGTACATTTTAGGACACTATGTTGTTTGTGTGTATGTGTTAATATTATTATTATTAATATTATTATTATTAATATTATTATTATTATCATTATTAATATTATCATTATTAATATTATTATTATTAATATTATTATTATTAACCTGTGCTTGCGAAGACTTCCATTAAGCCTTACATAAAGCAAAACATTCTCTCTCTCTCTCTCTCTCTCTATATATATATATATATATATATATTTGTAAAATATGATTGAAAAGAATTTACGAAACAATAATTTGTAATATCGCTCATTGTCAGTTACAGTTTATGGGGTGCGCTGCATGCAGTTATGTTTAATACAGTGTTGTTTTTTGCATTTGCATCTCATTTGCGAGCAATGATTACGGATCCAGGGATTGTGCCGATTAGTCGGAGTGGGTGCGTTAATTTATAATTACTTTCTAATGATTTGTTCACGCATTACTTGTTTTTAGGTTTTTAGTTTTATTTACTTTAGCAAGTGATAAGTTAAAAGTGCTACACGAAATTGAAATCTAAAACTAAACGTAGTCGCGTTCTCAATTTTCCAAATTGGACAACTCATGTGTCTTATGATAACGGGTCACTACCAAATGAGTGTATTGTGCATACTCACTAAATGAGAATGTAATATTTGTTTATATGCTCTGATTTATAATTTTCACTCTTAGTTCATACTGTTTTTCAGTTGTTCAAGTAAAATTTTTGTACAGACTGCAGAATTTAAATGCTGATTCAGGTATGGAGTTATAAGTCGTCTTATATGTTTTCATATTTATTTTTTGATGTTTTTTCAGATTGTTACATTGTAATAGGAATCGTTTTCCTAAATCGCTTTCTGATAGTGAATCCAATAGTACAGATACCGATGTGGAAGTGATAGAAGAAAATAAATTTGTGGTTAGCTCACTTTTACTTAACTGCTTCTTATCCCATGATAGAATTATCTATTCTACGCCTCGATCAGATTTAAATGTGATCTTCGTGAATTATTTAAGCTTTATATACAAATAATCGATTGTAGATAAGGTAAAAATGACACTATATGAAATTAGCCTAGTGGATTTTTTGTGGTGATTTATGAAATCGTAATGAAATTTAATAATTTTTGAGGGAAAGGATTGGACAATTTGCACTCGATGCGAGTCTTATAGACCACCGCGAGCACATCATTGTCGTATCTGCCGACGCTGCATTCGAAAAATGGATCATCACTGTTAGTATTTGTTCATAGTTATCAGTAGTTTTTATTTTGATTCTGCATAAAAATTAAGTACTGTTTTCTTTCGAATTATCCTGTCATTGAAAGTAGAACGTTTTTCAATAGTAGCAGAACTATTTTCGTCGCGGTCTTGCAACATGCTATTTTCTCCTCTTAGTAAACAGATTATCTTCTTTGTAGTCCATCCTGCGCATATTTTGTGTCGTTCACAATAAATTTGAAAATTAATGAGAAGAATTGTGTGACGAGTGAAATAGTTTAGGTCTTACTTTTGAATTTTGATATTAAAGCCAAGATCCGGTAGAAAGAGATTTTCAAGATGAGAAAAGATTACTTTTGCATCGAACAAGATGTTTGTGAGAATTTCTTGAGAGCAATGTGCGAATTTTTTGATTTGAATTAGTGGGATGAATGAAATAAAGAAGACATGAAGTTCATTGAAAATGTTAGTCACATCTTTCTAGTACTTATTAGATCTTCAATATTTTAAGGTCCCTGGGTTAATAATTGCATCGGCGAGTACAACCAAAAATATTTCCTTCAGTTTCTGTTGTATGTTGGCCTATCTTCAGGATATGCGCTCAGGTATGTTTTTCCAACATTTTTTTAGCACTGCGATTATGCATTTTATTGAAATTCTCAATAGAATACCTAACTGATGAACATTTGTACTTACTTTTATGGCTGTCGTTGTGAAACTTATAAGTTATGCAATCGCCAAAAAATGGGAAACTGATTTTATTTTTCGCGAATATTACCCTTCTTTCTATATTTCTACTCTTTCACATTATTAAATTTTAACACATTCAAACCTACATTTTTTTCAAATATCTAATCTTTTCTTTTGAAATACCATATTTAGTTTTTTTTTTTTTTTTTTCAGTTTAATAGTGACGGCTTGGGTATACCACGATGAATACGGCATTACCGGTATGAAAGGACCATATGGACAAAGTGTACATCATGCGAAAATGTTAGTGTTTACAAGAATTTAAACCAGGATTCTACTTACTATTATTTACTTTTAGATTGCATACCGTTTTCCTCTCTATCGAAAGCGCTCTATTTGGTTTGTTCGTTTTGGCGGTTTCTTGTGATCAGGTAATTTAACAAGAAAGGAGTTGTCATTTTAAACAAGAAATACTAGACAGCATTCTTGAAATTTCATTTTTATGCTATTATTGTGATATAATATCTAGAGAGCTACTAATATCTCATTTAGATACAAGCACTTCTGAACGATGAGACGGCTGTAGAAGCAGTTCAACGCAAGGGTTTCCACAATCGAGTGGCTCTATCACGCTCAAAAGTAATTCTAGTGCGGGAGGTGTGCGGCAGCGGTAAGCAGATTTTAAAAAGAGAATAAGGATATTATATTAGTCCTTCTTTCTTATCTCGCATTACTTCTTCCCCGGGTAAATTAAGCGACATCTTTCGTTATTACAAATATGTTAAGAATTAACTGTGAAATAAGAGAGAAAACCTCATATACACATTTTGAACGAATACTGTTTGGTATATAGATCAGTTTCAATTTGTTTTAATTTCTAGGACCAATGATATTGTGGTTGTTACCATGCTCAGCTTTGCCGTCAGAACGAGACGTGATTCAACTCTCAAATCAACCACTTATTGTTTAAAACTTGATAGCTGTATGTTTCACAACAGTTTGGAGACGTTTGTTGAATGTTCAGAACTGTATATTTTCTACAAAGAGTTAAGAATTCATGACAATATATTTATTTTGAGAAATGCCCTTGTTCGTTTAGTTTGTACAATTTATACCAAGTAGTATAATTGATACCTAAGCCTTTCATTTTTTTTTTTTTTAATTTGAAAAATGGTATAATGAGCGTAGATGAGAAATAGTAGTCCTGTTAACATAAAGCGGCACGTTAACTCCGTTCTCGTTTCTATATCCAGTTAGTAGACAAATATGCCTTTGAAAACCCTTTCAATCATTTTCTCAACATTTACTTCGTTTCAAAGTCCGCTATATCGCCATGCCTTACCTCGTGCTTTCTGCTTTTGCTTATGACGATTTCCTGTTTATACTGAATTCCATACATTTGTCACTTTACTGTTCATGTTTTTGTGCTTAATACGGCCATATAGCTAAGTACTGTTCTCTCTTCACGACTATTACCATTGTAACAAATGAGAATAGAACGAAATTTATTAATGTCTGAGCCTTAGGCTTCACGGAATATGCCGGGCTCGCCCGTTCGCTTTATCTGGAGCCCGCAAGCTCCCATCTGTTTCTGCTAACTCAAGACCGCTACTGTAAAAGTCGAGATTGTTGTCTAAGCACCACATTGTCTGAATCGACTAACTACCAGTGCCGTTTAAAGAACCTAATATTTTATAAAATATTCTCTTCATTCCTTTTTTTCTTGAAAAGTAGAATCATCGCTTTATATGCTACTGTGTAAACGACTATCAAAAGCAGACCTCAAAAGACTGAAGGTGCAACAGTGTTCACGGACTCTCCAATAGTGTCATATTTATTTAAGACTAAATACGGTAAGGTAAATCTACATTTCAGATAGCGCAGAAAACTGGTTGAAATATGTAAAATTGTGTCCTGTCATACATAAAATGTGAAGGTCTTTAAATCCTCATAATCTTATAATTAAAAAAATATGTGGGGAAAACTAACGCTACTGAAAATGACCCTTGCACATATTTTAATTTTAATGAACAAATACCAGCAGTAGTAGTAGTACTGTACTCAACGAGAGCAATTAAAAATAGTAATTAGTAATAATAATAGTAATAATAAATAATTGTATTGGTATTTGGTCCACGAACATGTATGAAATAATAACTAATATATCACAACGGAAAAAAAAATGATATCACAGATTCAACCTGTTCACAGAAAAATTGAAAATATGGTATTATTAGTTTGAAGCATGTCTCATGAGAAATGTCGCAGACATTTCTGTCACTACTAAATGGTATTTTGTAATTTCGAAAACAATTACTATAAAGAACCTGATATCTGCATTAAACATAATGGTAGTACCGTATGCTTTTCTAGTTCACATATGTAATAACAAGGAACATCACAACGCATATGTGTCAAATGAATAAATCCACACAGTGGCAAATTTACGACTGGAAATTTAAGAACCTATGAAGCTTCAATGCATTTATTGTACATAAAGTCGTCCCACTTTGAAATACCCATTTTAATCGGAAAATGGAATACTGAAACTTTTCCCAGAGCAAGTAAAAGATTTTGATGTAAAACCACCGCAACGTCAATCACTAAAGTGATAAAGACAGTTCCAAAGACATATAAATTGATAAATTGAAATCATTAATAGTGATGTAATGCACAGGGAAAAAAGTGCTTATAGGGACCATAAAGACTGAAAAGGACCGGGTAAAGTTTTTACAATTAAACTTAAACTAGTAAAACTTTATGGAATGTTAAAGTCGAAATAACAGGACTGTAAATTTCTGCAAGGAACGAAGTCCGAAAAAATTATAGCACCCTAAAGAAAATATATAGTACACTATGTATTCACAGCTTCATTCATTCCCGAATCCTTCAGTTTCATCAATAGCTCTACTTAATTTCTCAGCCAGCTGTTCATAGGACCTATACGGCGGCAGATCAAGTCTATTGAAACAAGTGTGCGAACGTGGCAACCAGTTCTCTTTGCCAACTCGTTCAATGCAGAATAGCTGCGGACCTGTTGAACCAATTAGCTCGGAAAAACCACCAACGGGTACTCGACAAGTCCCCGTAACAAATTGCAGAAGGCGCGAGCGCTTCACCTGATCTAGTGAACGGACAAATTGCCAAAACCATATGACCTAAATTTATCGCACATTAAAAATAACATTTCATATGAGCAGAAATAAAACCAACATAGAATACCGCACATCACTGCATTCATCTTACTTATCATCTCATCTCCACATATTCTGACGAAATGAAACTGACCAAACAGAAATGAGAAATAATGTCCAACATGAATTAATCTCATAGATTTTATCATTACAAATCACTACACATTATCTTCCGTTACAGAAAAAGAAGTTTCAGTACAAGCAACGATACCGAATAATTTCCATTACATTTAATAATCCCCCAAAACCTTACTGTTGACAATGAAATAGAAAAATGGGAGGACAATCAATTAACTTTTGCATCTCATCACCAAACCTATTTGATCAGAAAATATTCTAACACATTTCCTAAACAGTAAATTTCAGACAGAATTTATTAGGATTTACCTGTTTACTTTGCGGTGCATAATGTCTGTAAACAGTATTTCTTTGCCAGTCATCAACATCGACATCTTGCATTCCACAGAGCAGTAGTTCCAGCTCACGCTCATCAAAATACTGCAACCATTCGAGTGGAAAAACAGAATTAAAACCGGTAAAAAAAGCTCGTGTTTGTTGTTCAATACCACGGTTGAACCGCCATTCCATTAATAATTCAATATATTCTTCCTTGTTTTCCTCGCAAACTTTCTATAAGATTAATAGTAACTTTGATAACATGCATTAGTAGTGGTTAATCACATCAGGAAAAAGTGAAACAAATACTCGTAGTGTCTGCAAAAACATTAAACGCAGTCAGAAAAATGAACAATCACTACCTTCCCTACTATCGTAAAAAGAAATCACTAACACCACAAAAACATATAGCTCATAACTTATGCATTAATATGAAAGACGATCATACCAAAACTGAGGTCAAGAAGCGACGAATTTCAAAGGAAAACAAAGCCTTTCTGGGAAAAAAATCCCACAGCACCATATATATATATATATATAACCAATCACTCTGCTGGACTTCAAGATCATCAAATTTCGTTTGCATCCCGTAACAACGAGCAATTCCCAACTCTTGCTTACCATAAAGTAACAAATTAGATATAAACAAACGTTACCAATTCTGCACCACCATCCTTCAATTCATGAGTTCGTATTTCGCCCAATAACTCGTAGTCAGCAACAAAATAGAGCTCCATATCACATTCATCCACATTGTTTTCCTTGATCCACATTAAGCTGTTATAAAATTCAGCGTCAACGCTTTCCAAATCCTTCAGTGTGAACTTCTTTCTGAGCATTTTTTTATAAAAAGGCATCGTAAATCCACTGTAGATAAATTTTCCATGAAAAAGAGCCTGAAATTTAAATAAGCAAAATAGGATTCATTTCACTTTGCAGAAAAGATACAAGATATCTCTCCTTATTTGTTGAGCAATTAAGATCTCAGTTGGATAGCGGCAAACAAACAAATCAATATACCACAACCATAACACATAGAAACTTGTTGAAAGTTATAAAAGATACAAGGTAACAAAGAATATAAGAATTTAAAAAGAAAATACCATGGCAATAAATCGCCCAATACACTCAAAATATTTCAAATGATCAGGATTAATAAATGAGGCAGGATTGATTTGCAAGCTATAATTATTTGCTCCAGCGTACATAAATAAACAGTACATGGGATTGAGTACTTCATGTGATAATAAAAAGAACCATTCCCTGAAATGTCACAAAGATCATCAAGTTTCTGTATCGCCTTAAAACGACATGAGAATAATGTACAAGCAAATGGCGAATTATAAATTTTGAAAAAAATGCTGAAATTAAATCCCTTCTTCGAAACGCCGAAAAGCATATTTATCCTCTAAATAAATAAAATGAAATGTACTGTCCAAAATATATTGGCTTTCACTAAAAATAAAACATAACTAGCAACACCACCATAATCGAGACCTTCTTCACCACGGAACTGTATGTAAAGGCGTCTACGAAGATCCACCGGATTCTTTCTCATTATCTAAAATTTAATTACATACATTACACATCTCCATGCCTTCAGATGATGTTGCGTTTACTACCTTCATTACAGCAAAATGCAACTATGTTAAATGTCAAGAACCTCTTGATATGAATCCTCAAACAAATTGTTGCGAGAGACAGCAATTTTCACGTGATTTGGGATACTGTTCGACTGAAAAAAAATTGATAACTGAATTTGATAGAGGAGAGACTGCAAAACTATGGACTGAACTCTTTTTCAGAACCCTTTCACTTTCATTCTCACTTTTCTGTTCTGGCCTTTCAAACAATAAATATTAAAGTTCAAGTATCGATTCCAAAGACAAAATCATTTATATTAACATTCTTGTATATATATTAAAAAATAACGTACCAGACACAAATACCGAAATTGGGCTATTTTCCATCTAAATGTCCTTTCGAAACTCATCGGCAATCCGTTTGCACCTAAAGGTCCTACAGGCTTTCCAGTACGAGGATCATTGTAAGTGGTTGACTTCGTATTATGATCAATAAAAAAAGGTACTCCTTGTTCCGTAAATCTCATTTCCCAACCGTCTGGTAGCGGCTCATCTGATACGCTATAAATTCATTTTATAGCAAAATGAGATAAAAATTATCTCTATATAAACTTTCAAGAATATTTCAGCTGCACCGGAAAATCCATAAAGCTTTCCAATATGATGACCATTATAAATATAATCAATTGTTCGTATATTTATAGTTCATTTCAAGATAATTTAAATTTACAAAAATATAATAAACACTAGATTTAAATAAAGCAGAATGCTAATACCCTCATTTCTTACACGCCATCTAATAGTAACCATCCTTACCTTACTCCCTTCTTCATCCATTTTTTAAAAAGAACTACCAAATACCAAAAGATAAACTTGAACATACCCTTGCGTGCGAGGGTCTTCCCATTGTGTTGTTTTATTAACATGGTTAACAAAATATATACGTCCAGTGTTTGGATCAGCACGCTTCTCCCAGCCATTTGGTAATGGACCCAACGGGTCATCGTTTGATATCATTGCATTTGACTAAAACAATATTATTTTTGGGCAAAAGTTATATAAACTGAGTTACCAAGAATATGTTCTAATTTTTAAATAGTATATACACTTCTGCTATACTCAGTTCATCCTGGGAAACAAAATATATAAAATAAAACTGGCGGTACACAAGTTCTAACTAAAACCAAGTTCTGAAAAGACAATCTAACCATAGACACAGAAAGCACAGCTATTGACTACGGTTAATTATTATTGTTTGTTCATATCCTTGAGAAATTCTGCTTTCTATGACATTCCTTACTGCCACTACTTCATTCTTCCTTAACTCTGTTCTCAATCACAATCGACTTACACAATATGAAAAATCTAATAACATGATAAGTTTTAAAAAATAATGCTGAAAGCCAGAATTTACAAATAAAACTGGATATATGCAGTTACTACAAAAATGAAGCGAAGAGTACTAAAGTTCAGCAGACACCTGTAGCAAGTATCTTTGCTCCCACTGATGCATTGCCTGATCCCTATTAGACTGCCATAATTCGTGTGCCTCTAGCATATCGGCTGTAGGTCTTTGCCACGTGGTTGTCCTTGTGTTATGGTCTACGTAATATACACGACCTCGAGGGTCACGCCGCATCTCCCATCTGTAAAATGTTAGGACCTAAAACCATGTGCAAACACTACATTTTAGAAATATTTGCCTTTGTATTATGGTATTACAAGAGGCTATGACGACCAAAAACACTTAGAATAGCAACTCATATCAGAGTATGAGGCAACGAAATGCCAGGTTTAATAATAAAAAAATGAGCATTTATAAGCTTCACCGAAATAATAACTTGCCCAGATGGTAGTGGCGTTGTGCTTGGACGTTCCCATGTTGTACTCTTTGTTGTATGATCTACATAATATTTTCGCCCGTAAGCATCGTAACGTAATTCCCATCCTTCCGGTAAACGTTCTTCAGTTATAGTTGAACCAGCATGAGTTTGCGAAAGCATAGTGTCTCTACTTTTACCTACAATAATGTAACGCCATTTGTAAGCTTTAAAACACAAAATAACCACAAAACAATTTTGAGAACCTAATGAAGACTACTGAAAAACAGCGTCCGCATGAAAATTACCAGGGTTATTCTTGCGATTAGCATTATTCGTTGTTGCAGTATTGCTGACTGTAGTAGTAACAAGAGCGCCATTCGTCATATTATTTGGACAAGAAGTGGATGCCTCACCAACGTGACCTTCCACAATATGACTGCCTCCTATAAGCTGTATACTGTCTAAAACATTATGAATTTTACAATTATTCGTGTAAACAAAGATTTAAAATAGAATAATAGATTTTTAAGAATTTTGATAACAAATTAAATACAGTTTATAAAGAAGTACGAAGTTAAAAAAATAATCTAAAAATTGAAGAAAAAATCCCAGATATTCAAGTTTTTGAAGGCAAGACAATATTCAAGATATATGTTAATGGATAGTACATCACAAAAATTTCAAGCTGATATACAAGCTTTTTCTGTGAACTGAGGAAATAATGTCTCCCGATCCAGTAATAACAAAAAAGATCCAAAAACCCACAATTAATTAACTAATCCAGTGATGATATTTTAACTGAATAACACGTAATATTCTCAAAACATTATGCAGATAATGAGATATGCTGAAATGGGTATAAAGAAGAGCGATAATCATAAACTTCAGTTGGTTGCTTCGAGTACAACAAATATGTAAAATAGGAAGGATGTAAGCCACATATATATTTACTTATCTATTAGTACTGTTTGCAAGCTTTCCGAATGAGAGAATGTTAATGAAATACCATACGTATGCCAAAAGGGTTATTTCAGCTGATCTGATGAGATTTGATGAGGGAATAGGACCAGATTATTGTCTTAATAACAAGCGATCGTAACCACATATTCAAATAATGAAAAGTTATTCGTTATTTATTGCAATCGCTGTAAACCACAATCATCGCAACCATGTTAAACAAAAAAAATAAAGATAGGCAACATACGGTAACGCTATCGCATTACAATTCAAAAATTTACGTAATTTAATTAGAAAGAGGAACAAAAAAAACTTTATACCGGTGTCCATTTATGTTTAAAATGCGAGAATTGTACAAAATGTTTCGATATATAAGAAATATGATGAACGGGATTATGCAATTAATAATATGTACTTGAGAACTTGGTATATTTTTCCATGTCTTTTTTACAATTACTTTATATCACGTAAAAAGATCTTAAAATACAAAATAGGCAAGTTTACAAATTTTACTTTTTCTTTTTCAAGTCCAGCGGATTAACAAGGAGAAATATTAAATTTAAAGAACAAGCATGAATAAACCATCTGCTAAGTTGATGAGTAAGAAACTGCAGCAATCGATAGAGAAGCGAAAATGCACTGTAAAAAATTTGATTCAGTGACGGAAGAATTAGTAAAACACGATATAACTGGAATGACAGTTTTAGAAGAAGGAAATCCAAAAAAACGGATTCTATATATGAGGTAAAGTTTTCTGATAGCTACAAAACTAAAGACGATTAACGCTTAAGATTTTTTATTGTTCATTATGCAAAACAACCTCTTTTTTATTTTAAAAGCTGTTATAGCTCCAACTGAAAATGTGCAATTTGTTTTAATTTATTAACTTCATAATCAAAATTGAAAAGAGCGAATATTTTAACGCTAAAACTTTTACCATCCCCAAGCAAAAAGGTTGCTCCTGCTGATAGTTAAAACTGAATCGAATTTCACAGCCAAACATCGGCATTTACAAGTTGTAATTATTTTTGCAAGAGATAAATTGAAGAACTTCGCCATTTGTTTACAGAACTATACGGAAAGCCTCCGAAATCTTCATACTTCAAATCAAACACCATAGCACCATTCCGTGTTATGAAAACGACAAAAGGGGTTAGTGTAATAAATGAATAAAAAGTCCCCTGCTTACAATCATTCTGATCCATTGCATCACTAAATGACATCAAAACACGATTGCATGTATGTTAATTATAGGAGCTGACTGTAGCATTTGCTAAATAAATGTTGCATTTTAAAGAGAGCAAAGGTATAGTTTAGACTCTATAAAGGAAGAATATCAAATAACATGTCATTCATGTTCAACATGCCATTTCAAAAGCAGATACTGATCAAGAAGTAGAAGCTGGAAAAATAGTTGTTCAGAAAACCGCGATTTTTATTTCAATGCAGAACAAAAAAAAAAAAAATTACATAACCATACTTTCACTATTACTTCATATGAAACCTCAATTTTCAACTGAAAGTATTGATAATTAAATCGTACTTACCTACACTTTTTTTCTTGGGACGTATAACGATACCAGATACCAAAATCTTCAGTTCGCCTATTCTTGCCATATCTTTCGGTGAAGAAAGGTGCAGCGTCATTTTTGTATTGTCGACTAAAAAAAATTATTGATACTGTTACAAAAAGGATGATCCCACAAACCATAAAAAAAAACATAATTTTAATTGTCGATAAAAAGGCCACTTTTCTTTTAAAATAATCAGAGATAAACGCATAAGATCTAAGATTGTGTCATGAGTGCTTACTAATCATAAAATACTGGGAATATTGGTCATGTTCTAACTTGTAAAATTCATTCAAAACAGCACTTATATACTGAAGGATGCTTGATTGTATTTTGATAGCTTTTCCCTGCATCTGATGTTTATTAATCTTATCTCACACATTCATTCATCCAGTTCAGTTAGGTAAGTAGAAATTCAATATTTCTACAAGTCTTACTTTTCCTGAAATATCTGAATGGAAGCCCTAAGATGCAGGGAATTTCTAAGTCAAAATCCAATATAAAGCGACTATCAGACCGGAAAAACATAATGCATTAAGATAAACACGAATTTAAAATCTGAAGAATTCAGAAAATGAATGTGGCATATTTTTATTATATAACAGAAATATGAAAGTTTAATAAGCAATTGAAAATATATATAAAAACCAAATAAAAAACTGAAATCAGGAATCTAAGAAACGTCACCGCATGCTTACATTTTCCATTATCTGATTCCTTCTTGATTGCATGGGACATTTTCAATATTTTGTGACCAATCAGTGAATCCTCGAACAATTTTGATTTTCCAAACACACGAAATTCAAGAACTGATGATTCATGAATTTGAATCTGAGCATTAGGCATAAAAATTCATGTTTGAAAAAAGTGAATTCAACTGTATTACTCTGACTTATGGTTAGTATGTTGCCTTCCAGAATATGTCAAAAGTACAAAGTACATCAAATAATTAGAATCCAGATCACTTTTTCCAAAAATTAAAAATCGAGTTCACATATGTGAAGTAGGAAGAATGTTTTGCCAAAGCAGTCAAGAAATGTAAATATGTTGTCTTTAAGTGACAGTATTCTGCAAAAAGTAACAAGATGTCTAAATATGCTAAATCTAATCATTCTAGAAGAATAGTTCGAAACCTTTCTTCATTATTAACCGCGATTGTTTAAACCGTTTCTCAAAGAAACATATTATTCTTTTTATAGATAGTTCATCGAGCAAATAGAATAACGAGTGAACGTAAGCCCCCTTGCAAATATAATGCAACATATTCCTGGCATATAACTGCAAAAGACGTCTTGAATGTTTACGTAATTCTTATATCAGCTTACCTGTATTTGTTCATCCCATTGTGGTGCATTTGTCTTTTTTCGGACAGCAGTTTTTCTCGAAGTGATAGAATCAGCAATCACTTCTACATAGACGTCTGGTGGCTTATTAAATAAACCACTAACACCATGCAGCTTTGCTGATATGACTGTAACATATGGAAAGAACAGACACTCAGGAAGAACAATGAATATATATGTGAGTTTGCCCATTTTTATATGCACTCTAACAATTTTCTGTGATTTCTACCTTCAGTTTCCCATACTAAATTGCGAAAGGGATGCAGAAAGAGAGAGAATACATCTGGATCAAGCTTATATAACGTGGAAATGCTTGATAGCGAAAATCGCATATGCGATCAAATCCCATAAAAAAGAATGCAATCTTTTCTCTAATATGAACAAAAAGTTGTACTTACTGGATATATTTAATGGGAAAAGCTTTGTGCGTTCATCTGCAACCCCATTTTGTGAAGGCATTTTTGTCAGCCTACTGATGATTGCATATATAACCAGAACATTCACAACCTAAAAGATATTGTGGGGATTTTTGGAATTGCTTACAATAACGACAGAGGAGACAAATCGCACTGCTAATTACACCAACATATTCTTAGCTTGCAATAGTTGGAGAATTTAGTTCCGATGATGTACATAAGTTGAAAATAATGGAGAACAAAATGATCAAGAAGAAAATGTCAAATGTCAGTACCTTATTTTTTGCAGTACATAGCAAAGAGATCGCACTGAGGATTTCAACTGGTAATAACGCAACAAAAGCATTTTAATTGATAAACCACTGATCCATTATAAACACAAAGCATTTCTAGCGCTAAACAACTATTCTCAACAAGAAAGGAAAGCAAAGTAGAGAGAAGTTTCCCGAAACTTGTACTGAAAAGTGAACTATCACAATGAAAAATTTCCTGGCAAATCGCTGCAAATATAATCTAAAACAGGTTGCTCAAACACTACGGGAATAAAATGCACAGTGATATTTGAAAATCACGAAGTGATCTACGTAACAAAATATAAATGAGAGGCAAAAATAGAAAGAGAGCTCACAAGAGGGGCAGAAAGCAAAATGACGAGAAGGGAAGGCAGGACAGACAGGCAAACATCACACTAAAATAAAAATAGTGCGACGTCAGTGTGATAAGTTAGGGATGATATAAACATATATATACAAACATATATATATACACGTGAATTAAGCATAAGCTCAGATCTGATGAAACAGCTCAAACGCCTAAGTAATTGAAAAAGAAATCTGATAGAGTTCAAAGAACATTGGTGGAACTATATTCCTAACAAACTACCACTTGAAAACATGTTAGAGAAATAGCACAGAAATTAAATATCTTCAATGTTTGAAAACCATATGAGTCAAAAAACTCTATTATTCACCGATTAAAGATTACAAATAATCTTACGAATGGATATGGGATGACATCAGCCGATGATTCCTTGCCCAAAGTAGAAATTCACTTTGACCAGTGAGAAGTGCGCTATTTGACTGCTTTCACCTTGTGATTACGACAATTAATAATTAATAATAATACATAATAACAATGATAATAGTAATCAATAATAATAAGTAATAACAATGATAATAATAACAACAATAGTAAATGAACTAACTAGTATAACAATAGGTAATACTTAGTAATTAACGATAATAATAACAAAAAAACAATAGGCAATTTGATTTCTTATATTACGATGGAAAAACCATTTAGGAATCAGTACTGCTACCAGAAAAACATATCCCATCTCATATCTAAAATCACCACCCAACTTGTCGGAAACACCACAATAAATCCTTTGCAACACTATACTTTCACGGCCGTACACATATGACGGATACCAAAATGCCACCCTTCATTTCCCACACAAAAAATGATAAACATATGCCGAAGACTGGAAACCAGTCAATGAAACAAGCCGACGAAACCGTAAATAAATCCTTACAAATAATTATGACAGGGACTGGTTAACAACGATTGCTGAGTGTTGAAAATGTTATCCGGAAGGGGTGATGATAATAGAAATGTTTGTTAACAACCAAATCCATCTTTAACTTATAGATCGGGTGGAATGCTCATGTCCTTGAGATGCTATTTATGGCTTTTATAAGTTCGCTTACCTGGAAGTTTATTGCACTAAACCTATATTTCATTATCTGAACATCTCATACAGCTTTTTTTCCTAGTTTGTAACTCGTTAATTATTATAAAACGAAGTTGCACTTGGTCTTCGATATGCGTACGCTTTTCTCCATCTCATCTTGTCTACAATAAAAATCTCATTGGTTTCATTTATGGTACTACTAGGCCGAAATACAAGGACTGAATCAAGAAAAGCTGAAAAAAAGAATGGATGTGTTCGACGAACACTACACACCCAGGAGAGGACGAGAGCGCGCTGCGCTTCGCTCAGATATTTTTGAATCGATTGTAGACGCCTCGAACGACAAGTGCATGTTGCAATGGTCGTCGACACAGAGATAAAGAATGTCGACTGTGAAAAGGGGAACAAATAAATATGTGATACCCACAGACGAGAAGTAACAGCAGCATCAGCACATCAACCAATTCGCTCATCCATCTTTACCATTTGTTGGTTTGTGGAAAGGGATTATGTCACGTGAAACTTATATATATATGCGAGGTATAAGCATGATTTTCGATGTGAAAATGACATAGCACACTATTTAATTATCGACTTTGATTATGAATGGAAACAGGTTGGAAAAACCGAGAAGTTGCGGTAAGACTGCGGCGAAATGGCAGTGATGACGATGTTGCTGGAGGTGTCATTACGGTGATACTGGTTGAATGCTTACTGCAATGGACATTATTTTCGAGAGTAGTGGTATGACGTAATGACGATGAACATTGAAAAGTGTGACATAACTTCTACAAAACAGATCCATGAGATCCAAAATACTGGTGACAGTCATACTGTAATAACAAATGCTTTAAGTGCGATAGTTTCCACAAGACAACAAAATAAGTCAAGTTTTAGATGGACCTGATCTAAAAGGTTAAAGGATATTTCATAATTGACACATTTTTCATCTGTTCATAAGAATTCAATTTTTCCAAAAGGAATTTAAAGCGAGTCTAGCACTGAATTCCGAACCAGTTAAGCATAAATAAAGCATAATGTGAAACCTTTGTTACAGCATACTTTTAGTTCAGTCTGCTACTAACAAAATTTAAGGTATCCTCATATACAACCTGTCAATAGGCAGTCAAAAGTACTGCAACTTGCTTCGATTTTTGTACCAGGAACAAAATCCGCCACAAAACCAAATGCACACAGGACGATGTAGTAGAAAAAAGTACGATGATGTGTATCAAGAACCGCATCGGAGAGATGCAGCGGCAACAGACATCACAATGTAAATATGGAAAAGGTGACATAATGATAGTCCTGCTGATGGAGCACTTTTTTGTACTATTCAAATTGATGATTTCCCTATTTTTTCTTTGACGATATATAAGAAATCACAATGAATCATTATTTTACTGAGAAATGAAACCATTTCCAGGTAATCAATGCAGGAAGATTACTTGGTGACACAGCACGAGAACATTTACTGTAACAATCTTCCCCTTATGAGATATCAGTATCATGGAGTATAATAATCGGATTATCCTTAAGCTTATTACGTACAGAGTTATCTAATAACAGTTAAGATTTTATCAAACGAAAAATAAAATGCGTAATGTGTATATAAATCTACCTTATCATTTAGGGTTATCTCGGTTAATTATCTAAAAAATGAAGCAGATAAGAAGAGAATTCTCTCTCGGTTTAGAAATTACGAGATGCAAGTCTTCTCATCATATCTACATCAGATGAATGGATAATTCGAATGCCTCAAGCTGTATTTCTGGAAAGCCGAATTCTTCATGTATTGCCTGAAAATTTAAGGTGAAAAATTATAATGCATGCACTTCAAAAACTGTAATCGAAGAAAAAAGTACAGCAAACCAATCATTCCAAGGTGTGATTCAACGTCAATCTAAAACAGCACCTCAGTCAAGCATCCATTCCAATCAAGTGTTAGCAAAGGCATGGATTCACGTTATCAATGATTTATCAGAAACCATTTCATTCAAGCACGAAATCTGTGATCATCAACTAATGGTCAGATATATTTCCCCATCCGCTTTTCAATTGGAGGAATTCCGAGGCCAATTAATAAGACATCAAATAGATGATCACCGACTCCAATAATGCCTTTTTACAAAAAACCGCAAAGATGTTTTTTTCTAAAACAAGAAAAAATACTTGGTGTTTGGATTTTATAACTTCTAATACATTTCAGCAATTCTAGAATAGTATGAGAAAACATTACAATGGAGGTGATATCCTGAGCTTTGATTCAAGTTCGTGTTAACTCCTGAAAAAAATTTAGAAATTTATCAGTTGATTCTCAAAAATGTTTGCAAAAAATTCCACCCTGAACTCTCTGTTAAAACCGATGTTTATGAAAACTTACATATGCTTGCAGCCCCCTCTCAATTCTCCTTTCGGTGACCTTGCAATTGGTTAAACTTAATAAATAAACTGCACTAGACGACCATGAAAAGTTTTTAAACTAATCCCAGCATTACCTAAAATGCCGCGCACCACCTATTAAATCGTAGCTGAAAACAGCCAAATAAGCAAAAGTTTATGGAGCAGATTACTTTTAAACTATTACTAAACACAGCGAATGAATCTTGAGAGCATAAAAGCGGATGTCGATGCAACAATTTAACAGTTGGATCACAGCGTCTGCGTGGAGAGCAAAGTGAATAACAAATAGGCGAGTGGACAAAGATTTAAACTTTTATAAAAAGCAGAGTAGCTGCAGTAACCATAATGGTTTGAAACTTTCCGAACCACAGAAAAAAGGAATAAGATATGAAGCAGATAAAGTTTTTCTGAAAAAAAAAATCACAATCTTGACATAAAATACTTCAAAACTCAAATTTCAAATCAGTAGATGGATGATTCGCTTGGTAATAACTTAGCATATTTGCTCATTTGAAACTCGACAGAACATGACAATCTGAGGTAACATGGACGAGTGTTGAAATACTCTATTCCTACAATCTCAGTAAACTATAATTTCATATTAATTATTATAAATTTGCTGTTCATTCAATCCTGCAAATCAAAATGCATGCTGCTCCATTTGAGCTAGAATTTTATTCCTCCCTATCCCTATTAAATTTAGTACCTCAATACCTCAATTTCATCTCAGTAAAGTTTTACTATCAAAGATGATAATGCAGTAAGACTCAGAGTGGATCGCATCAGACACTGTAGAAGAGCAAAAGAACGAATGGACTGAAAGAAAAAAGGATCAATACACCATTTAGAATTATACATATAAATATTGCCAAGAACGAAAGACGTTTTGCTTATTTAATAAAGGTATTGTTTCAATCCCTCACTCTCTCAAAAATATGATTAGACAGAATATGGAATCAAGCAATTCGCTGTAGATATATCAAGAAATGATATACAAATAAACAAGAGCAATTATTAAATTAAAATTATATCTTCGATATAATATTGTTTCCATAGCACAGACTGTGAAATATAGGCGTTTACAATTTCTGCAACGAGATATATGATAGAAAACATTTAAGGACAAACATGTAAGTGGAACACATTCTTTAATTAGCACCAATTTCAATTTCATAAGCTTCCAGTAATTTGTTGTATATTTCCTGAAAGTAGCATCAGTAAAACAAGAAGTTGTGTAAAATTTACTTAATAGATTAGTTCTTACAGAGAACAAGAAAAAAAAACTGAGACCATATTGCTACTGCAGCAAGTAAAAAAAGAATCCTGTTAGTATTTCAGGATTCTTTAACTAATTCAACAAGGTCAAATGAAAAGTGCACTCAGTATTCAGTTGGTATTACAATTCTAGATGGTTTTGTCCATTTACCAAGATATTTTTTATTTTACCTTCTATTTTTTCTTTCCTCTGAAGTTTCTACAAAAGATTCATGAACAAAGACGTTCTATATAATTAATAGAAATTCCAACTTAAAAGAGAATAAATACTAACCGATGCAGACGCTTGCTCTATTAATTCGACCACTCTTCCACCTAACGTGCTTAATTTGAGGAAACCTTTCTGCTTCTTTCGTAAATCAATTAGGATCGTTTTACCCGAAAGTGTAGGTCTATTCATTTCTGTGTATAAAATTTGCCATTCAATATTCCAGGAACCAACTATATCACTTTTTCTTACATTCATTGCACGCCTGCAATCATCTTATATAATTAATGTAAAAACCGATTTAACTGTACCAAACCAAAAATCACTCATCCAAAATTATAATTTCCTTGATGATTGTCCAATAGCTCAATGCTTCATTCTAGGTCTAAAAAATTTCTGATTGTAGTGAAAGGCACATCACTTAACACTCCAAAAACTGCAGCTAGCATTCAAACTCTATTAATTCCCAGAATCATATTTTTTGGAAATGATAAAAAATGAACTTAGTTAACCAAACAACTTGAAATCCCAACCTATCTGTGATAATAAATAGGCTCTTCTCAGAAATTGCTGCATGTGCCAAGAAGTAATCAGTGTCGGCCACGGAACCATTATCAGCTTCCTGAACATTCAACATTTATTGTTGACAATTTATGGCACTTTATTACGGCAAAATCACTCTCCAAAAAACTAAATTGCTATATATTGCTCAACTATTCACTGCTCTTCTGCTCACTACTTTTCTATCGTAAAACAAACTTAACTAAATAAAAAACACGGTGTGAACAATAAAAATGAGGGATTATTCGCTTAAATATATCGCATGGAAATATGGTTGAGTTGACACACATCATTTTCATGTTCGTTATAAACAAGTTTTAAATTAACACCGATTAGGAAGGTCTACATACTATCATCAAGGAAAAGCAGTCTTTTATTTAGGTATTTAATTACAATAATGAAAATGGAATTCAGAGCAAAGAAACTTCATCCTAAGCTTACACGAAATATTTGAGCTCCGATAGCCATCTTCTGGCTGTATGGTCTTACGATGTTGTCTGAAAATATAACCCGTGATGGACGCAATGGCTTCGTTTCATCAGTTCCAACCGTCGCACTAAAATTCTAAATTTTAATACATCAACCGTACATATTTATAACATTTCTTAATGTTGTATCCTTCAGTTCAAAGAACGTACTAACAAAAAAACCTATAAAAAATGGCGCAAACGCAGTAAAAGATACCGAATTTCTAGTGATTTGATCATCAGTACTCATATTCCAACGATATTTACTGACGACAAATTTAACTAGAAACTAGAGCACTGCATGAAAAGAGTTGACAGGCAGGCAATTCATTTTAAAAGACAGCATTAGAAAACAATTCCATAAAAAAACTAACGATCTCACAGCATCTAAAGTACTACTAGCAAAATCAACAGCTCCAGATAGAGGGCGCGTAACTATACCAACTAAGCCGAGACTAAGTCCTTTCGCAAAACCACCAGCTCCTCCACTTCGAGCGCCTAAAATTAACTGTGAAACAACTGATCTGCTAATTGAAAATATCAAATAACACAACTTCTGAACTATTCGATATGTTTTCATGCAAATAAATTTTTGGGAATGGACTTCGCTCCAATCGAAACAAACATGAATAAGGAATTAAAACCATCATCGCATTGCAATGCACAAGAATAAAACAGACCTGCAAGTGGTTTGAAAACAACACCAGCGATGCCATCATATAAACCTTGTCCAACACCTTTAGCACCGCGAGCTACACCCTCACCGAATGTCCTTGGACGGCGGTTCATCATCAGCTGCCGCTTGCGTTGGTATTCTTCATCAAGAGTTAATGCTGCTACACCCTAGAAATTGTATTTTTTATGGAAATAAAAATGTAGTTCGTTCTTTTGTTTCAAAACCATAATCTCACATATGAAAATTTACTACAGGAACTCTGTTTGATAACTTTAAATATGGTATTTTGAAAGATAGTGTTTTCAAATTTACTCATAAACCTACAGTCTTGCACTTGTTCAGAATATTAGACATTACTGACTATAAATCCTGAACTACCAATCCAATCAGAACACTTCCAATGCCAAAATTTTCACGAAAATAGATTTAAAAAAAAAGAAATATACTTTTCCTAGAGTACCAGCAATTCTTGAGAATGCTCCAGCTCCACCGCCAACTGTTGCACCAACAAGACCTTTAACACCCAAAGCGACTCCTTCAGCAAACTCTTCTGGTCCTTTAACAGCTCCCTAAAGCGTTTTTTCCAACGTGTGAATTATGATTTCCTTTTTTTTTTTTTTTTTTAATATTCTTATAGTTAACACAAAATTTAACATTTAGCAACACTTTCAAAAACCTTAAAACAAAACA